CGTGCGCACATGCGTTGAAGTAATTTCAACAAGTTGGATATGGGGCAACAAACTATATTGATAGGCAATACAGTGTTGCTACATACATAGACACGTATAGCGGGAAGTTGCAGCCATTAGGTGCTGAGCATTATTGGCCGCCGGAACCTTTTAAGATGGTATGTAACAAGGACTATTTGCGCAAGCTGCAAGTGCAAAAGAGAACGCGTATACGGAACCAAATGGATGTTGGTGACACCATTTATTCGCGTAAATGTGGCATATGCTCGCAAACAGGACACGACCGTCTTAAATGTCCTTTAGGTGGTGTGCGTGGCGGTGGTAATCCGGCTCCTGGTGCAAGTTCGTTGAATGTACCCAACTATNTGAGGTTTAGTGTCAACACATTAAAACTTCCACAATCGCAAGGGATGGCCTAACAGTTGAAGAGTGGAATAACAACCTTGCAAACAAAGGTTTGAATCCCAATGGAGGCCGCAGAAGGTGAACTCTTCCCATTTATTTAATTCTTGGTAGGTTAAGTTACCCAGTATTCATGTTGGTGAGAAATAGCAGGAAACCGGTGGACTAGCCGTGCAAACCAACCCAGCCACTATTAATATACAAAAAATTAAAGAAATCAAATAAGTTAGAATCTTACTTATCCAAAGAAAACAGTTAGGTTAGAAATTATAATCCAACCTCATTGGGCTTGCAAAACAAGCTTGATCTCATAGAACTAGGCTCAGTCTAACCTTCTCATATTATGTAGTTCTTGTGTGCATATTGTGAGAAGGGAGGCGAGAGTTATTGATTACTTGATAATTTGATGAAAAGATCCCAGCTCTCCCTTGTTTCTTTAGCTCTAGCTCTATCTTGTTTTCTTAGCTTCTTTTAAAGAGCTGAGATTCGGCATCTTAACTCTTAGTTTTTAAAGAATGCTTCTAGTCAATCTACATTTGTTTGTCAGTTAACAAATATCACCTCTCGGTCTCTCACAGTTTTCTCAACTCCTAGCTCACAAATCAAGTATGTTAGATATCTTACCGTCCAGAAAAAGGTTAAGCTTAGAAATCTTAAGCTAACCTTAGAGGGTTCACAAGCCAGCTTGATCTCATAAAACTGGCTTCGCCAAAGCTAAAACTTCTTATAACATATGAGTATATTCTGCAACACACAAGCGACGCGAGATTTATTGAGTACATAATTCGATGTATACTGTGAGAAAGAATACACAATTTCTCACGGGAAAATTATATTGTTTATATACCTTAACTATAATAAAAGAACCCCTATTTATAACAATATACAAAATCTGCGGTACTCCTATTCCATGTAGGACTACGCTTATTTACATAACATCTAGCTATCTAGCACTCACCCAGAAGCCGGTGCATACAAATCATATGTATCGAGCTTGTTACATATGTAACTACTACGAGGACCAGCAAAGGACTTGGTGAAAGTATCAGTAAGTTGATCATTCAACTTCACAAACTTTATAGCAATATCCCCTAAGAGTATCTTTTCTCTGACGGAGTGACAGTCAATCTCAATGTGTTTAGTTCTCTCAAGGAACACCGGATTTGATGCAATATGAAGGATAGCTTGATTATCACACACAAGTTCATCTGGCCAATTTCATCAAATTTTAACTCCTTGAGCAATTGTTTGATCCAAACTAGCTAACATGTTGCCAAGCCATTGCTCGATATTCTGCTTCTGCACTAGACCGAACAACCACATTCTGCGTCTTTGTAGAGACCTCCATTGAAGTTCAAAATACATTGTCAGTGAGCTTTTGATGCCATTTACGGCAACATCGGGAGTTTGACCCCAAGATTTCCGCAGTCGACTGAGGTAGAAGTTATCAATAGCGACGTCCGAGATGATGAAGACAAAGTTAATGGTAGTCTTTCATTGGATGTCAAAGATTGAGGTTGCCTTCCCCATCCGGCCATCGAAAGATGGATTTCAGATGAAGTTGAAGAAGAGAGAGGTGATTGAGGCCTCATTTTGTTTGCACTTAATAGAGGTCTGAATCTTAATCATTCAGATCGCAGACATTAAGTGTGTTTATTTTTAAAGTCTGAATCTTAATTATTCAGATTTAATTATTAAGTGTGTTTATTTTTTTTTACTTTACAACCACTTAATGGGTCTGGATAGGTCTGTATGATTAAGATCTATAACAAAGACTTAATTTCATTAAGATGATATCATCCACATTCATTATTACTGCCGCCACCACCTATCATTATCAATCACCACCAGTCCACCACAATACTCAACCACGACCACCATCATCCTCAATCATAGCCGCCACCATTATCAACTACAACCATCCATTATTCCCACCACCATCATTCTCAACCACAACCATACACTCATCCACCTCAACTACCACAACTAGCCACCTCATCACCATCAACAAACATAGTTGGCACTGCCCATCATTATAAACTACCACCACCCACCAACACCTTCCTCAGTCACAACTACCACCACCACCCACCATCATCATCCTCAATCATAATCGGCGATTTTTAAAAGCAAGTTGAGGTTAGGGTATGAGACGATCAATGTTTTTAGTTTCCTACGCTCCACAAATTGGATTAGATGCAGAAACTAAAACTAAGTGTCTGCGACCAACTTATCTTTATTGGGGGAGATCTTCATATAGATAAAGATAGTGACGGTTTTCGCTAAATGACACAAGGGATATGGTTATGGAAGTTGGAATGATGAAGGAAAGGTTGTCCTATATTTCTCTAGCTTATGATTTAGCCTGTAGCTAACACATATTTAAAAAAAGAGTTTTCACCCAATAACATTTAGTTGTAGCTTATGATATATATATAGTCGTTGTCCAGTGTTTACGTCGCACATAATAAGAGGATCATGTGCACATGATATGTGGGAGATCATCATAGAACACTTGGCCTCCTCAAGATGTAAATATGGAAGAGTACTTCCAGAACTGTATTTAGTCGTTTCAAGCCAACATGTAGGTGCATATTTTTCTCAGCTTTATATCTGTTGAATCATTTTCTTTCTCTAGGCTGCGGGATGATGACGCCGGAAGGGGAAGAAAGGTTTCTGTAGACGAGACAGGGTGGAAAAGAAAAAGGGAAATAGTTCATAAAAATGTCAATAATGAAAGTCGTACTGCTATATTATCTCTAATAACTTGCTATCTCACTTTATTTGCTTGTTTTTTAATTGAAACCTTAATTTGTGTTGAACTAGTTGTTCTTTTTTTACTTTATTTTTTATAGCCGTAGTTCCTATTTTTTCTCTTTAATATCTAGGGAACCTCTTGATAACGAAAAGAAGTAGGAGGTCACATTGTCAGAGATTGAGAATGTTCAACTGAGTCTTCTTGCTTTTTCCGTTTAGCTTTTCTTCAACTTTTAAATTATACAAAGAGTTCTGTCATGAATATATTTCAGTCTGTCAGCCCGGATGTAGTGCGAAATAAGAAAGGTAATCTTTGTTTGTGCGGGATATTTACAAAAACTTCTAAGAAGAAAACAACAAGAAGACTCTTCCTACAAAAACTTCTAAGAAGAAAACAACAAGAAGACAAATAAGGAAGATTGTGCCAAGAGAAGTTACATTAACAGTAAATCTACGAAGTAGAAAATTAGAAATATGTAGGAAGAGTTTAATTACTTCTTTAACGAAGATATCATGTCACGTTGAAGTCACCAAATATTGTTTTTTGTTGCTCCTCTTCAAAATTAGGGGCAGAGTCAAGGCAGATCTGCAAACTAAGTGTTCCATCTCATGTATGAAACATTTAATGGATGCTATAAAGGAAAATGATGCACAGTTAAATGCTCTAAAAGATCTCGACATATAGTGTGAGTTTAATTGAGCAGCTGCCTAAGAGGTTTGACACCCGTTTTCAATTATTTGATATTGGAGGTTCTAGAATGTTTTTTGTATTTTGTATGGAGGTGCAGGATTGCCTTGGCTTCCAGTGTATGGGCAAAAATGTTGACACTCATGACTTGAGTGATAAAAATATCGAACAGTCAACTTTAGTACTCAAAGAATATTTTCCTGATCTTGATTTAAGAAAACTCTCAAAGACGACTGCCCTCAATAAAATTAGAACTTTTCCCATGGATGTTGACGGATGGAATGATGATTTTTTGAGACTATGTATATGCTACATGTTCTCTATTTTTTTCTTTCCATAAACCAAAATGGAGTTGTCATTTTGGCCCCTGGTGTACTTTGGTAGTTCAATGGATGAATTTGAGAAACATAATTGGGGAAAGGCTATCTATGATTTCTTAATTCTCTATGTTGGGAGATTTAAAGAAGGGAAGGTGGTGACCTATTTGCAAGGATGTTTGCCACTGTTGGAGGTCAGAACCAAATTAATCTTAAATAAATGTTCGGCCCATAATTTGGCTAAGATATGCAGCTCATTTTATCTGTTTATTTTGAGTTTTTTGACAGGCATTAGATGACCGAAAGCTGAAATTGAGTACCGGTCTAAATATTGTAGCCTCTTAAGCTGCCATTGTCACCTATGATAAAGGTGACACCAGGAGCTCACACAAAATACGACAGGCTTTGGTTTTTTCAAATTCAGTGCTACACAAACTCACAATGATTTTCCTCTAGTTGTATCTGAAATTTATTAGTTCACAGAATTAACATCATCATTCACTAGATTATTATTGTTATCTAAATAGCTAAAAAAACGGGTGACGCCTGCACTCTCTCGCATAATGTTGTGGTAGAATCGCCAAAACAGCAGAATGTCGGAAACACATCCGAACAGGAAAGCACATCCAACGACGAGAGATGACAGACGATTGGCCAAAACGTTTGACGATTCTTCTCCTCGACGAGGTATTATTTGCTTATCAATCTTTAGTTTGAAATCCAATCTATCATATAAGCAAATAATACCTCGTCGAGGAGAAGAAGCGTCAAACGTTTTGGCCAATCGTCTGTCATCTCGTCATTGGATGTGCTTTCCTGATGTTCGGATGTGTTTCCAACATTCTGCTGTTTCGATGATTCTCCCACAACATTATCCGAGAGAGTGCAGGCGTCACACTTCTTAGCTATTTAGATAACAATAATAATCCAGTGAATGATGATAATTATGTGAACTAATACATTTCTGATACAACTAAAGGAAAATCATTGTGAGTTTGTGTAATACTGAATTTGACAAAACTAAAGCATGGCGTATTTTGTCTGAGCTCCTGGTGTCACCTTTATCATAGGTGACAATGGCAGCTTAAGAGGTTACAACATTTAGACCGGCACTCAATTTCAGCTTTCGGTCATCTAATGCCTGTCAAAAAACTCAAAATAAACAGATAAAATGAGCTGCATATCTTAGCCAAATTATGGGCCGAACATTTATTTAAGATTAATTTGGTTCTGACCTCCAACAGTTGCAAACATCCTTGCAAATAGGTCACCACCTTCCCTTCTTTAAATCTCCCAACATAGAGAATTAAGAAATCATAGATAGTCTTTCCCCAGTTATGTTTCTCAAATTCATCCATTGGATTACCAAAGTACACCAGGGGCCAAAATGACAACTCCATTTTGGTTTGTGGAAAGAAAAAAACAGAGAACATGTAGAATATACATAGTCACAAAAAGTCATCATTCCAACCGTCAGCATCCATGCGAAAAGTTCTAATTTTATCGAGGGCAGTCGTCCTTGAGAGTTTTCTTAAATCAAGATCAGGAAAATATTTTTTGAGTACTAAAGTTGGTTGTTCGATATTTTTATCACTCAAGTCATAAATGTTAACATTTTTGCTCACACATTGGAAGCCAAGACAATCCTGCACCTCCTTCGTACAAAATGACATTCTAGAACCTCCAATATCAAATGATTGAGAATAGGTGTCAAACTTCTTAGCCAACTGCTTAATTAAACACAGACTAATAGAACGCCCTGGTATGCCAAGATAATGCACAAACATTGTGCCTTTCAGAGCATTTAAATGTGCATCATTTTCCTTTATAGCATCCATTAATGTTTCATACACGAAATGGAGTACTTAGTTTGCAGATCTGACTTGACTCTGTCCCTAAATTTGAAGAGGAGCAACAAAAAACAATATCTGGTGACTTCAATGTGACATGATATCTTCTTTAAAGAAGTAATTAAACTCTTCCTACATATTTCTAATTTTCTACTTCGTAGATTTACTATTAATGCACCTTCTCTTAGCACAATCCTCCTTATTTGTCTTCTTGTTGTTGTTCTCTCCTTAGAAGTTTTTCTAGATAACCAAGAAAGGTAAATATTCAGCACAAACAAAGATTACCTTTCTTATTTCGCACTACATCCGGGCTGACAGACTGAAATATATTCCTGACAAAACTCTTTGTATAATTTAAAAGTTGAAAAAAAGCTAAACGGAAAAAGCAACAGGACCCAGTTAAACAGTCTCAATCTCTGACAATGTGACCTCCTACTTCTTTTCATTATCAAGAGGTTCCTTAGATATTAAAGAGAAAACAAAGAAAAAATAGGAGTTACGACTATAAAAAAATAAAGAAAAAAACGAACAACTCATCCAGCTCAAATTAAGATTCCAATCAAAAAATAAACAAATAAAGTGAGATAGCAAGTTATTAGAAATAATATAATAGTACGACTTTCATTATTGATATTTTTACGAACTATTTTCCTCTTTCTTTACTACCTTGTCTTGTCTCCTGAAGTCTCTCTTCCCCTCCCGGCGTGATCATCCCACAGCCTAGAAGAAAGGAGAAAGAAAATGATTTAATAGAGAGAAAAATATGCACCTACATGTTGGTATGAAACGACTAAATACAGTTGTGGGTTCCATATTTAGATCTTGAGGAGGCCAAGTGTTCTATGATGATCTCCCACATATCATGTGCACATGATACTCTTATTATGTGCGACGTAAACACTGGACAACGACTATATATATATCATAAGCTACAACTAAATGTTATTGGGTGAAAACTCTTTTTTTAAATATGTGTTAGCTACAGGCTAAATCATAAGCTAGAGAGAAATATAGGACAACCTTTCCTTCATCATTCCAACTTCCATAACCATATTTACTGTGTCATTTAGCGAAAACCGTCACTATCTTTATCTACATGAAGATCTCCCCGAATAAAGATAAGTCGGTCGCAGACACTTAGTTTTAGCTTCTGCATCTGATCCAATTTGTGGAGCATAGGAAACTAAAAACATTTATCGTCTCATACCCTAACCTCAACTTGATTATTAATCGACACCACAACCAATCACCATTAGTTACTACACTGAACCACCACCATCAACCAAAATCACCACCAACCCGCCTCTAGTCGAGATTGACAAACACCACTGTTAGCCATCACCACCACCAACTATCATATTTTTAAAAATTATATATTTTATTGATAGAATATTAAATTAATTAGTATTTCATTTGAATTTTATGTTTATTAATTTTCAAATAAAGATAAATTTTATATATTCAGATGTTAAAAATCAAACAATCTTAATCATTTAGTATTTAGATCTTAATACACATCTGAATCAGATTCAGATGTCTTAACCTTAATACACATCTTGATATTCATGTGTATTCAGATTCAGACATCTTAATCTTAAGAAAACAAATGAGGCCTAAATCAGAGAAAATAGCTCTTTGGAATAACTTGAATTTTCCATATATAGCAAATAAAATTGATAGCATTATTGCTAGATTGGACTTCTGTGGTACAGGACGAGCTTATTTTGCTGGTGGTTAACTAGAGCAACGAGCTTTCTTGAAGCAAAGTACACATTGATGTAATAGGAAATCTTCTAAAATGAAATGGGTCTTTCTCAACTAAGAAAGAAGAGACTTTTTCTTCTTTTTGGTACTCTTTTGGACTGTAATAGGAAGCTCAAGGTTTGATGGAGTGTTCTGCTAGTTCGGATGGAATATAAAAGAAGAGCATCGATGGATGATTCTTAATTTCTTCCTCTGTTGTGAATATTGATTATCTAGTGCTTGTTGAATAAATGGATGAAAATATAAGATTCTTTAAGTGAATGTAAATGTATTTTGAAATTGATGAATGGATTTAGCGTGGAGAAATTAGTGTTATTCTGTTGTTCATTCAAGTTTTGTGAAAACACATCCCTGTTCTTATTTTGTATGTCCCACACGAGTTACTGGAGAAGAGATCTTGATTTGTTTGTTTTGACTTATTTTTTTATCTGCAGAACCATTAAAATTGAGGATCTTTCCGTTAGCTTCAGGGTTTACTCTAGACCTGAATCAAATGTGTCCACCTTTTTCAAACATAAGGGACTATTTGTGTTCAGTAGCATATACAAAGGACAAAAATATGTCAAGCCCTATACATAAGGGAATATTTGGGTCTTTTCCTCACTAATCAGCTCTAGGTATAAGTTTTAAATGTCGGGGTAAAAGCTAACGTCAGTTGTCTGCTAAAGTTTGATGACTAAGTAATGGGCAATTCTCAAAACCTGCCACACACACCATCTAACTAAACTACCAACCAAATTACAAACATTGTTGAGAATAAGCTATATAAACTCTAAGCATAATGCGCCTCCAAGCAACAATAAAACATCAATTTTAACTTCTTTTGCAATAGTACTTACTCCTTCAATTTATTTAACTTAACACAAGCAGCAGAAAAATTCAAGCAAGACATTTTTTCAAATGTTACTAGGTTAGGCAAACTTCAATATTGAATTTTCAATCACTGGAAAATAAAATCAGAAAAGCAATTGGTACTGAAAACCACCTTCCTCTACATACAGAGGCAAAATATGCACCATCTGCTAATTCATACACATTAGGAATCAAAAAACTTGGAAAGCATGAACTATCTATCTATAAAAAAAGGTTAAAAAAGAAGACCTTGAGTATCTTCGTCCGAAATGAAACAGGGGTTCATTCAATATTGACGACTTGTAGTCACAATACCTGCAAATTTCAATATTCGATGGCCAATTCAAACAAACTTTTCAAATACCGCTAACAATAGGGGAAAAAACAAGAAAGATCTGATTCATACCAACAAGAGATAGTGTTGGATAGGCGATTAATGCTCATAGGCAATAGAGTCTCATTGCTTCTTTGCCATCTGCTAAACCTTCGAAATCGTCTGCCTTCCATCTTTCAACTTTGTATTAATTTTGTTTTGTTGAAGTTTTGGTACAAACCCTTAGGGTTTATAGTGGACGGAATTTAGTCATGTTTGGCGCACGTGACTTTGTAAGTGACTTGGCAACTCGCCAAGTATCATATTTATCTTTTGTTTTCTCCTTTTTTTACTTTTCCCTTTCATTCTTTTAAATTTTTGTTAAAATTGTTTAATAATTGGAAATTGATCATTCTTTATCCTATTTATTACATCTCATTATAGTATTTATTTCAGTTACAAAAGACACAATTAACGTCCAAATTTTTTAGTTTATTGGGTTTCTCACTATCATTATTAAATCAAGTAATATCATGTTTTAATTGCAATAAAAAAAATTGCACCTTTTAATTCATTTAATTAGCCTCTCTTTATTCTTAACCGTTCTCTCACCTGTAATCATGTTGAGTTGTTTTTGTGTCTTATTTGTTTCATATAGTTTTTTTTCATTTTATATAAAAATTATGAGACTAATCATTTAGTTATAGTACTTTAATTCTTCATCCAACCACAAAGTGCGGGCAAATTTTTATATAGAACATTTAAATAAGAAAGTTAGGTAAGAGGTCTTGCGTTACACATTCTAAATGTATTCTGACATTATAAAACTATATATAATTATCTCATTCTATTTTTGTGTCTTGTTTCATATATATTTTCTTCTTATACATATCTTTGTAATTTGTTTTTGCATGTATGCCTTATATATAAATAAAAATTTATGACTATTATCACGAGTAAATTTATTAGGCAACATTATTTATAAATGTATTGAGGGAATAAAGAAGATGACTTTGGCCAAGAAACTCATTTATCTTTTTTTTCTCTCATTTTTTTTGGCTTTGCTTCCTCATTTTTTATTTATCTTATTTTTAATTAATAGTCCAAATTTAATTCTTTAAATACAAAGTCAACTTTTTCCTCCCATGATTATGTCCTTATTGGACATCTTAATATGTATTTATGCTCTTTCAAACTTCCCCTCCCCTATATTCCGTTACTAAATTTTATTGATTATGTCCATAACTCTCAAATATTATTTAATGTGTTAATTTATGGCATCATTTTGTATTCTCTCATATATGCCTATATAAATTCACTAGCTAGATCAAGAAACACAAATCAAAATTTGGTGAGAAAACTAATGTCTATTCAAGAATTAATAGAGTTTCTTTTAGTGGAAGCTTGTTTTGATGCTATGTCCAAGAAAGGTATGTGGCGCTAAAGCGGATCTTGATGAATGCATTCATATATTCAAAGTTCTCAATTCAGGTAAATCTTATGAATATTACTCTTTTTAAAAAAAAAAAAACTTTCTGAAATTTTAAAGATCATGCAAGAAGTTTTATTGAAATGCCATGATAACAAGATTAAGATGAGCTTTATGAATTTGAATTGCAAAATATTGACCAAAATTTCAGCACTCATCTTCAAATTTCTTTGACATAAGCAAGACTCCCGTTGAGGATAAATTTTTTCAGTACCTGCTTTGAGTATGCCATACTACACAGAGAGAGAAATTAAGATTTATCAACAGTTATTACAGTTTACTATCTAAATATTTGCGAATAGTCGGATCCTTTCTTCATTTATATATGTATAATATTTCTAAAATTAATGCACAAATACAATTTTGTTACTATGTACTTTTGTATTTAAAGTGCATATTGTTGTAATGTTTGCTGACTGTGGGATCCTTTCATTTTTATGTATATTTTTAAAGTTGATACACAAACACATTTTTGTTGTACTTTTGTATAAAAGTATAAATCGTTGTAATTTTAATACAACTATATTTTGTTTCTATTCATATAATGAATGTTGTTAATGTGGAATTAGTAATATAAAAAGTGTTGGAGCACGAGGGAAAATATTTATGTTTGTGATTTAATCAATTTTTGCAATTAATTGCTTTATGTATATGCATGAAAATTTTATTCTCTTATCTCAAATATATTTACGAAGAAGATTAAGCATTTCATAATTTCATGTATTTGATCGCGCAAATAAGTTGACTAGTGTAATCTATATGCTTAACTCAGTTTCAATTTGTTTATTTAATTTAATTATAAAAATACTTTTGAAAGTTGAGTAATTTTAAATCTTTTAAAGCTAGTGGTCTTAAACAAATCACAATACATGTGTGACTACGAGCTTTTCATTAAAAAAAATATAGGATGTATTAATCTTTTCGAAATGGACTAATAAAAAAATATAGGAATATACCAATCTTTTGAACATATTTCTATTAATTAAGTGAAAAGAATTATAGATAATAAAAGTTATTATTAAAAATATATAAAAAAAAAAGTAAAGGGGAATTGGAGAAAATAAACTTGATAGAAGGGGGCATATTAACATTTCTCTTTATATTTAAACCTGATAAATGAAAGAAATAAAGAATATTCTATTTAAAATTATACCAGAACAATTGTCTTACAAATTCCAATAAAAAATAGTTTCGTTCTTACAAATTAGTCGATTTGTACGTTTTGAGCAATTTAAAATTAAAATTCAAGTCAAATCTTGAGAAGCCATCTAGTTTCACACTCTATCCTTCGACGCCACTTTCATTCTCTCTCTCTTTCTTTTCTTCCAGCTCTATGCTTTCACAGTTATATCATCGTCATCACTCGTCTACCATAGCTACCAGATTTGAGTAAATACTTCACTCCACCAAGAAAAACCACTAACGGTTCAATAAAATCTCGGTCAAAAAAGCCTCACCGGAAAACTTAAACAAAGTTCTTTACGATTTTTTGGTAGGTGGTTTCTTTTTCTTCTCCTCCTCATTATTTTCTTTTTTCTTTTATTTTGTTTCTAATAGTATTTATGAGTAAAGATTCAGTGGTGGACAATTATACTTGCTGAAACTCCAGTATATTATACTGGACAATTATACTTGCTGGAACTCCAGTATATTATGCTGGAGTTCCAGCATACTTATCTTGGAACTCCATCATATTATGCTGGAGTTCCAGCATATTTATCCTGGAACTCCGTTATAATATGCTGGAGTTCAAGCATACTTATGCTGGAACTCCAGTATAATATACTGACGTATTTTTCGAGTTTTGAATAGTGTTTTCGCTCAGATTTATCTTACATGAAAAGTGGCTAAATTTCGATTACTTTTGAAACTAGGCTTTTTTGAACGACCATTTGTAAATCTGGCTATTTTTGAATTTCTCCCGAAACACACATATTTGGACACGTATTAAAACTGGTGTTTGGGATTTGTGACTTTTATCCTATTTTGGGGTGCGGGCCTGGGTTGACTTTTTGGGTTGACATTGTGTAAGTTTATAAAGATTGAAGCTTTATTGTTTGGATTTATTTATTATGGATTTATTTAATATTATTGAATTATTCTTTGCTAGATTCGAGCCGTTCGAAGGTCGATTCGTGTGCTAATGGATTTCTAGAGTATTGATTGGTTTGCTTGAGGTAAGTATCTTACCTAAAATTGGTTGAGGCACTAGTTGTCTGAGTTATTAGTGTTGGCTACGCGCTATGGGTAGTGCATATGTGAGGGTTGAGCTCATGCACGTGCACCGGGTATTATCCATGCTCGAGGTAGTGGCTATGATATGCCTTGAATTGATTACTATGTTTTATGCTATAATGTTTCTTATGTTTGTACCTCCTTTTGTGAGCTAATTGAATCGTGTTAGAGGTTATTTGTTGGTTAATCTCATGTTTAAACATGATTAATTGATATTTTGTGGTGTAATCGCCTAATTTGAACTGTGGTAGTACACTTCGCACATGTCTACATCTTAGCATGTCACTTATATCAGTCCAGAAATATGTAATTGATATCCATTATTCATGTACATGTATCCTTAATATGTTATCTGTATGATATGGACTGGTTGATAGCACGTGGGTGGTCCATATGCTGAGATATCATAGCACGTAAGGGATCCGTGCGGTGGTTATATATGGCATGTGATTTGTTCGTGCAGCGTGTGGATAAGAATCCACCCCTCCTAGATTCACCCTTTTCTCTTGATGGTGTACACGTGGTATGAGAAAACTGATCACTGTGTAGTTATTACATTTCTTCTCTACTTGCAATTTCCTTGGATGTATACATGTTTTATTCGCATATCTTCTCTACATGCTAGATCTGGAATGTATACATTCCTCGTTGTGCATATCTTCTCTATGTGCTGTTTGGTTTGATTAGTGAGAGCACAGTACATATCTTCTATATATGTCTACCTGTGCATCGAGACTTAATAATAGATGCATATCTTATTTATATGTTGGATTGATAATTGATACATGGCTTGGCAGCATCGAGGTGACTTTATCTATGTTTTATGATTAGATGGTATTATTGTTGTGTACTTGTGGAATTTATGAACTGAGCAGGTTATTAGCAAGTTTCGTTGATATTTCTTGTTGCTATTACCTTACCGAGGTTAGTTATGATACTTCCTAAGTACCTAGGGTCAGTTGTACTCATACTATAATCTGCACTAATTGTGCAGATCCAGGTGTTGGACCCAATTGAGAGTTGTCCGTACTTTGTTGTGACTTGCTAAGAGACGAGGTAGAGCTACATTCCTACCGCAATTCTTGGCATCTCTTTCCAATTCAGTTGTTGTTATTATTCAAATGATATTTTAATTTGTATTGCCATACTTGTATTGCTTTGTAGAGCTCATGACTCTATATTACTAGTTCTAGGGGGATTGTTATGTATTGACGCAATTTATTTAAGACATTGGGCTTTAGATTTGTACTAGTTTCGTTAATTTTGTTATCTTGTTATGCTTGTCTTGCCTAGCAAGTGATTTAGGTGCCTTCACGGTCGGATGGTGGTTTTGGGTCATGACAAGTTGGTATCAGATCCCTAAGTTTATAGGTTCTATGGGTCATGAGCGAGTTTAGTAAAGTCTTGCGGATCGGTACAGAGATGTTTGTACTTATCTTCGAGAGGCAACCGAACTATTAGGAAAATTTTGCTTTCTTTCCTTCTTGTTGTATGGATTTGCCATTTTCGAAATTTGAGCATTTACTTTTTTATTCTCTCACAGATGGTAAGGACACGTTCAGCTAGATAAGCCGAGCAGGCACCGGTGCCTCCAGTCAGGGCCGCGGGAGAACAAGGTTGAGGTAGAGGCTGAGTTGGGGCTTGTGCTATAGCTAGAGCAGCATTTGTGGAGCCACCAGTTGCTCTAGTGGATGAGCAAGTTCCGAATATTGTTGAGCCGATGGGACCAACTCAGACTCCGACAGTACCTATTGCTATACCTGGTCTTCAGGAGACTTTGGCCCAGATCTTGAGTGTGTATAAGAGTTTAGCTCGAGCATGCATGATACTAGTTGCACCAGCTACCTCACAGGCTAGGGGATAATCTAGACTCCCGCCGCCCGTAAGCCAGAGCAACTAGCTTAGAGTTATCAGACACCGGGGGTTTGCCAGTATAGCCAACTGATGCGTCACATGTCGAGATTGGACCATCTTTGACTGATGAGGAGCAGAAGAGGTTATAGCTATTCCATAGGCTTTGTCCTCCCTAGTTGAGTGGAAGAGAGTTAGAGGATGCTCGGGGATTTCTTAATTAGTGTCATCAAATTCTTTGCACAATGGGTCTTGTGGACTCCAATAGAGTTGACTTTACTACTTTTCAGCTGACGGGCCAACCTAAAGGTGGTGGCAGTCCTATGAGACAGTCAGGCCAGTTGGCGTAGCACCACTCACATGGCATCAATTTTCAGTTCTCTTCTTAAAGAAGTTTGTCCCACAAACTCGCAGAGAGGAGTTCCATAGGGAGCTTGAGCATCTACACCGAGAAGGATTGACTATGACCCAATACGAGATGAGTGTCACAACCCAAAACCATGCGACCGGCACCCGACACACTACCCGACCCCAGTGAACCAAACCATATGATGCACCCAAACCATATGCATGAAAACCAATTTAGCTGTGGAAGCTCTTTGAAAATCATACTCCCTCCGTTCCAGTTTATGTGAACCTATTTCCTTTTCGATCAATTCCAAAAAAAATGACCCCTTTCTAAATTTGGAAACAATTTAGCTTAAACTTACAATTCTACCCTTAATGAGAAACTTTTATAATCACACAAATACTCTAGGCCTCTTTTTGACTTGTTTAGCACCACAAATTCCAAAAGTCTTAATTTTTTCTTAAACTCCGTGCCCAGTCAAATAGGTTCACATAAATTAGAACGGAGAGAGTATATATTTTCAAGTTAAATGATAAAATATTTTTCCAATTCAAAATCACCCATGAAGACTTTCATAACAATAATGAGATCAAATACAACAAATATCTTTACATATATGTCGTGTATCATCCAGTTATTACAACTCATTACAAATATATATATATATATA